ATAGTAAGAAGGCATCGGGATCGGGAATATTAACATGTGCCACACTAACACCTACAATATGAGTAATTTCAGTCTTGGTATTGTTACTAGATAGTAATTACACTTCAACTCTGGCACGTTTTCGTGGAGACACACGAGTTGCTTTGCCCATCTTCGCTCTTTCATGGACTCTTCGTACTGTGAGCAAGTCCTCTGCCCGCTATCCACCCTGGTCGCCCCACCCCTCTTTCACAGTGACTTGGAATGTGAATTGCATTGCAAACAGGTGTAACAATGACCTAAAGTTATCGGCCAGTATAGAATCGGGGGCAGCAGGGGTTTGCACGCAATCTTTTGAAATGATTTGATCAGAGATTTCGTTGAATTATCCTCAGCGTGGCAGGTACGCACACGGTTTCTTGAGTACCTACTCCCATTCCTTTACTACTATTAGTTTAATTCAGAATAAATTTTGCAACGAGCGTTGTTTGCAAAACCTGATAACAAATATTCGCTCCCGTGTTTTAGAAACTATTTTGCATGAAAAATAATGAGCTTCAGATTTGATATGTAATAGTTGAAAAATTAACCAATTCCCATGTCCTTTTGCGTCTAGCGGAATGAGGGCTCAAGGAAAAGTGCGCGGATAATACTCAGTTTATTGAAATTTCAAATCTCAGATACTAATATAAATAACTTTTGCGCATTGGTGATTGACGAATCTCTCATTTGAACGGGAATTTCCGGGTTATTAGCCCTCATAGTTCCAACCAACATCATGTTTTTGAGAAGGAACTGTTCTAGAGGTATACTCGTGCACAAATCATAGGTAATGTATCTTCTCCTCTCCTATACATTGCACATCTACAACGTCCACGGAAGCTAATGAGTTGCTCGTCAACTGTCACGCACACGCCAGGGCTGTAGAGTGATGGAGAATTGTTTGTGAATAGTGACCAAATGTAACTAAATAGTGCCCATTTGTCTGTTTCCAATCTTTGTTCTCGATTTCTACGGTCATCAAAGCACACAAGCGACACAAAGCAACAGGATTTAAGAATAATTCTCTAGCAGGAACGTTCCACGATTTGTTTACTCCTGCACATAAAATGTCAGCAAAAAAGGCGTCGAACTCTTCCGAAGTTACGTTTACCCATGATTTATTCTTGGTAGCTTTACGGTTTTATGCATCGCACTGTTTCCTCTTACATTTATTTAGAAATCAACAAATTGAAAGATTGTGTTGTTTATCACAGTGATTTTTACGGGAGCAGGAGGGACGCGGAAATTTTGTAAACATCTAGCTGGTGGCGCGCTTCTGTGCCATTGTAATTCATTTCTGGATATTAGAAACCTTAAATTGGAAAATGAAGTACGCGGTTACTTGTTGAAATTAGATTCAGATGAGCATGCATCACTGTAATTATCTTGTCTTCGGGATCTTAAAGATGAGAAAGTCTCCCAATTGGGATCATCATCATCATTCGAAATAGATTCACTAACATCACTATTTCTGATTCATTTAGAATATTCTCGATTACTTCTGAAATCATCGTTTCAAAACAAATGCCACGAGCAAAGTAAGCTAAATGCGCTCTCACAATTTTAGATTGCAAACCACTCTGAGACAGAACTGAAACAATATATTATCTGATTTTATTCATGTTTGTTATCGGACATATCAGCGTCTCAAATATCCAACAATCGGCTCCCGTTGCACTTCCATGAATGGCATGTGCCGGGGTGTTCATCACATCGCATCCGCCAGATTTCCCAAGCTCCACTTCTGTAATAAAAGCAAAAGTTAGCCATAATTCGGTTTCGAATAACTGGAATTTACCGAAAATACAGAAATAGTTCTTTACATAAGTATAAAATACCAAAAGGGATAACGATAGATGGTACTACATCATCAAGCTTTGGAAATGAATGAAAAATACCACCTTGCCTCGAAGCCGTCTATCATTTTCAGCTATTCTCTTGTTACTGACTTGCGCAGATTCCAATCTACTGTTTATTATCAATTTGTCAAAATTAGACAATTTTAAAAAATTAAACGAGGATTTTAACCTAACCTTTTTAACTCACCGCGCCTCGTACTAGAAGTGTGTGGAAAATATAAAGGAAAATTATACCTGAGAATGTGACTAAAACGATAAGGTGACCAAATCCTAGAAACAAAAAAAAAAGGACATTGGGACTTTTTCTTGACTAAAAAATGTGACGCTTGCTCATATCAAAAAACGTTGCACACTGTTGTAAACTACACTTTTTAAACATTATTGGAAACGAATAGCAAGAATAAAGAAATGTGCAATTTTAAATATTCAGCTTCCAGGTCAATGACCCCCTCATCTCGATCAGGTTTTTGTCCAGTTTCTCTGATCCGTTGGCAAATGCTGAAATGGCCCCTTGTTTTGATTATGGACGTAAATGTAGCTTCGCTATGCGCACGTTTTGTTGAACTCACCTTTTGCTTGTAGTGGTAGGTGTAGAGCTGAGGGTGAGTTACTATTTTGTTAGCAAACTCAGAAAAATCAAATCTGGAGTTCGTTTACCGGCGCAAAAAAATTATATTATTATTTTTTGAACTTCATCTGTCAACTATTTATAGTGAAGATCTTCGGAAGGGATTTTGGTACTCGTGGAAAACGTGCGCTGATTCTCTTCTGCCTTCCCCCACAGGTTGCATATAGTTTTTTACCTTTTTTTCTAAATAAATCAAATATCGGGTATTTATTTGCAAAAATTGCTTTTTGTACAAGTACATTATTTGCAAGTTGCAAATCATAGTTTAACCTAAAAAGGAACATTTTAGAAGCAGAAGATTCGGAATTATTGGATTTTGTGTTACGATATTGATGGCGGATACAGATATACAAGTTTCAGAACTAGGCCGAATAGCTCATTTTCTTCCGAGAACCACCCTTCTTGAAATTTCAATAGCCGTGAAGTCACTCGTATGTGGAACATGTTGTTATAATTATGCTCGCACTTTTTATAACTAATGCAAACCCAAGGAATACTATTATGATAAATGTGCTAAAGTTGGTTGACGGCCCTTTTCGATTTATTGTCATATAAAATCGGGGGCATTTTGGCTCCGTTTTTTCTAAAAAAAAAAAAATAAAAAAAAATATTATATAAAAATAAAAAAAAATAAAAAAAAAAAATACGTACAGGAGACTGACCAGGCTAATATGGGACGAGTGGTCACCGTAGATAAGTGGTAACAAAGATCAAAGATGATGAGTTTTTGCCGTCTTCCACCCTATTATTGCGTAGATGGAGAAATTTGAAAATGACAAACGAGGGAAAGATGTAATATATATTAAAAATAGCAGTCATGTTTCTGAACTGTGGAAGGAACATGGCCAGGGATAGTAAAGTGTCATATTCCAATGTCTCCATAAGTTGATCCCAAACCTAGTGGAGCGTGAAGTTCGGAGCGCTCTTCAACAGTTGGCACGCCCGTGAAGCCGTGACGTAAGCAGGGTTTCCTTAGATTTAGATTTATTCAATTTATTCAGTCTCAATTATTTATTCCTTCACCTTCCCCTCCCCGCGTACGGCGTATTTAGAAAACACGCGCGTTCAATACAAGGAACTTTTCAATTTTCTTTTTCTGTTTTTTGTTTTACTAGAAAAATTGCTATGAATAATTCAACTGCCGTTTTTATTTTTTTAAAATGTGGATCTCAATTGTTTTGACACTAATAGTATGTCATAAATTGTATTTTCTAATATCCAATTGCCCGATTACACCCGACAACATTATTGAATGAACCTGGAAACATGACAAGCTTGAGGATTTTGTCACCACATTTTGTCATAAGGTTCTTTTTGTGATACCGAATTTGCACGACATTTAACGGATTTGCACAACTTAAATCACAGTTTTGCTTCATATTTCTTCCCGTTCCAAAGCTTTGTTTCCGAATGTAGTTAATCTCGGATTTCAAGAAAGATTAAGTGTCTGGCCCAAAAGTGTATTCTATATTTTAACTAATGTTTAGTAGATCTTAAAAACAGACGCCGGTTTTGATTACGATTTTTTTAATCAAACCTCGTTTAAAAATGCCTTCAAAAAATGTAAAGCGTGAATTGAGGTTGCTTGGAAGTCATTCACAACTTCTAGTGCGTGTATATGATCGTGCTGCTTCCGCGTACTAGACTTAAACGCACGCTTTCTTCCATTACTAAATGATGGTGTAATTGAGGCGTGTTGCAGTCTTTTGAATACACTTTAGTGTGGAATGAGCACAACCATTGCAGTACCGAAATAAATTGTTCTTTTGAAATATGTGTGTTGAAAAATTGTGCAATTACATGAGTTTCCATTCATCTAAAGAAATCCATTTCGTCCACGGAAATCTATTTCATCTTCTATGTGACAGCTGATGACTTCAAAAGCCCAGTGACAAGAGCAATAGCAATACAGATCACATGCGAAATCATGAATATATTGTAGGAAAAATGTAGTAATAATGATAGTGAGATGTTTTAGAGCCATTCCACAAACCACAAATGATTTGTGAACCCATGACTCGTTTGATATTCTGTAATAATACTAAAACATTTTAATATGTTTAGAAGAAAATTAAATTGATTAATGTCTTGAATCCTTATCAGTTTTTTTATTGCAAGAACAGTGTTTTTACCTAATTATTCATATGTAAGGGTGTTAGTATTTTTCTGTAACAAGAGAGGTCATTAGAGGGAGGCATTTTTGCCATTGGTTTTGTACTCTACTACAGCTCTACATCATGACACATAGGGGGGAGGTTGGTGTTTTTTTTTCCAGGTTTCATCAACAAATTTGCACCAGTGTATATAGAGATAATTCACAATAATATTTTGTTTCCCTTGATTGCTTTGTCATGAAAAAATACTCATTTCTTCCCCTGAAGATTTGGTAAATACATTATGCATCTTGTTTAATTTAATTTAGTTCAATTTGTGGAAAATCATATACCAGCTGAGATATGAAAAAGAATTATTCAGATGTCTTAATTTTTCAGTTCCTGATACTTCTGCAGTTGTTCCTGTGAGTTCAGGAATAGTGACTGTTACTACAAATACGTCTACAAATATGTCTCCAGTGAAACAAAGCAAGTCACCTGTGACAGTTCGTCAGTATCCAAAACCTCACTCAATATCTGCTGTATATGATACATCTTTAGGAAGTCAAGAGCAGATAGCTGAAAAAGCCAAACAGGTATATTGAATTAGGTGTTCTTATTAGCCATTCATACAATACATTTTCAAAGTTTTATTTCTTCCCTGTAGTCACCCCCTCTTATCACAAATTTTTTCCTTTAGTTAGTCATTCTATTTTTGGTTTCTTTTGTGTGCATTTTTGAATAAAAATAATATGGCATGTTTTTTGGATGCACTAATCATAAAAACATGACTGTACTTTTTCTTTATGTAACATCAAAATGATAATGAAGTATTGCCCCAAGAACAAGATTCCAAATGTTTAACTCTTGTCTGGGTAATATTTGAGAGATGGGAGTGTGGTATAGTAAAGTTGCCACTTACTCAGCCGGCAGACATATGGTCTTGTGGTTTCTCCTGCATCAGATCGCAACAGCAGCAGTAGCAGTACGAATAAATAAATTGCAATAAGAGCAAACCACAGTAGACGACACAGATCTACACACATGGCGCATAACCAAACAAGTAACAATCCCAAATGACACTCATGGCCACTTGACGCTCTTTAATTTTTTGTTGCTTTATGCTGTAAGACTTCATATTTTTCTTAATAATCAATGGCAATTCTGCAGTGATATCAAAATCCGTGATCAGTGAATCTAAAGCCTCTGATTGGATAATGGAAGCCCCTCTCTCAAGTCAGCTGCTAGCTGTCAAGCAGACACTAATATTATTCGGCCAATAGTTAATATTCAATTTTTTTTACCCCAACATGAATGTATATTTTTTCCTTCTTTCAGACCACAAGTTTTCTTTGAAACATTTTCAACAATAAAGTAGTTTAAGTAACAAAGTATAAAATATAAGTAACAAATTGCATTATAGCATACAAAGCATAATTAAAAGTGTAAGAAATAAATAAAGAATAAGATTATGGTTTTAGATATTACAAAACTAAGAAATGATGATAAAGTATGTTTTTATTTCTTTAACACACATTAAATAGTTTAGAGCGCCCTGTTCACCCTAACCTACACTGTAACGCAAGTAGTCTTTACCTACCATAGATTAAATTCAATACAGATTCATTAAACAAATGATTCTCATTGTACAAAAAATGAAATTGAAGAATGAAAATAGAGTGAATAGTTAAACATTTTAGAATGTCTATTTCTAAGAAAATGTAAAGTGTATTTCCTTTTAATATTGTTGTTCATTGGAATACAGTCAAGTAAATATTGACAGGTTTTCAAAAGAATGAGTAAACATAATAAAAAGGCAGTGAGAGTCCAATGAGCCTCTCTTCATTATGCCAACTATGAGAGAACACTGATGAGAAGGTCAATTTATTTTCCAATCTGCAAATAACTTAGCGAACTCAAGTATTTTAATACAGATAGAATAATGAGATAACCAAATTTGTGGGAAGCTTTCAGAAGGTTTGAACTAATGAAGGAAACAGCGTTTCAATATTTTTGCTTCAGAAAAAAGTAAAGAATTTTCTAGATCATTGAAATGGAGAACTCAGAGGTCTTTTGATTTACAAATTAAGTTTCTCAATGACCTGTTGACTATGTAATGTGAAATTTTAAATTTTAATTTAATGCTGTCAATAATATCCAGAGATTTGATCTGAGAAAGTGACTCGAAAAACACATTATTTATTGAATAATTAAACATACCAGTTGACTTCAGTAATAGTGAACATCTGGGGAGCAACTTCTTTGGCTCACTATATCCAATGTGACAATAAAATAGTTGATGAAGTTTTCGAGATTGACAGAATTGCCGTAAATGAACTGAAACTATTTTCTCAATACTTTATTCCTGTCGCTCCTTTCATTTGCCGTAAATGCAACACAAATAACTCGAGATCCTCCATCTGCAAACCATTAAATTATTGGAATTCTTGGTCTTGAGGTGAAGTTTTTTGTTGTGTATGTGAGCAGTGACTTCGGTTCATTTTAAGCAAAAGCCGAAGTCACAGCCAACTACGTTATATCACACATCAACAGTATATGAAGATTTAAACTGGAACACTATAAAACTTCACTATTAGATTAATTACATGATAAAATATAATACTTGAATCAGAAATTCGACAGATGATTAAAAAAAAAAAAAAAATTAAAAAGCAGGTTTTTCTTCTGTTATATTTGCTAATCATCAAGTTACAACAAATTAGGAACATGTATACAATCAACCAAAGAAAGAAGCAATAGGAACATAGAAACATTCACAATTACTACAGATAAAATGTAATATTTGGTATTAGTTTATAGTGATTTTCTCCCTTTTCCGAAAATGAATACATTTTTTGAATGGAGCCTCATGTAGGCTTCCTAGTTTTGTTTTAGTGACACCAAATGTTGTAACTACACATTGTTAATGCAATCTAGATTTTAATGCAGAGGGCTATTTTACTTTGTCATAATTTTTAAAAGTTTGTTTGCAATCCTCAAAATTTAATTATTTGTTTTAATTTACACTGGTAGCCTATGAAGAAAATGCTTTTTCTTATCAACGTTCTTTCATTACAAGGATTAGATCATTTTACAGAAATTCAGTTCAGATTAAGATTATTATAAGTGAAATAATCAGGACATTTATAGAATACAAGGGACACACATCCTATCATTTATCATTAATGTCACTTCTGTTTCTTCTTTAAAAATGTGTGGTTCGTTTCCAGTACTTTCTCTTTTGAAAAAAGATATGCATGGAGAATTTTTAAGAGAGATCTCTGGAATGAAGAAATGAGGATTTCCTCCTCTTTTCAAGTTCTTTATATGTTGTGCCAAACTTCTTTGTGCTTGATGTTTGAGAGTCATGTAGTGACACCAACAATGGTTTCTTAGTGACATGCTATAGAATTAGCTTTTCCAGTAATCTACCTTTCTTCCATCTACACAGAATGAATAAACGAAGGGGATGGAGCTAGAGGGTGGAATTTAATGAAATGACATGTCATTTTTTTTCCCCTTAGATCAATGATGTTCAAATCCAGAAATTAATTTTAGATTATGATAAAATGAAATGATCCATTTCTTTGTAATATTTTTGCATTTTTTGTAGATTTTGGCCAAGTTATATTTTACCTTCTTCACTTTTAATTCCTTTTTTTGCTGTTTTAATTAATTTAAATATCATTTTAATGGTATTTGCATCGAATAATAGTTATGAGTTGCAACAAATGTTTTCCAGACTTCCTGAGTAGCCTATACGATTTCTTTGCCCATAAATGGTAATGTCAGCCGTGAGTGTGTAATATAAGGTTCCTGTGACCCCTATTAGCGCCATTATTGGGTCAGCCAATTTCAGGATAACTAAAGACAGATTTCCTGCTAATGAAAAGTCTATACCAAAAGTTTGCAAGCTGAGTTCACTTGAACGAAAGGAGAAAGCCTCGATTACATCAGTAACTTATCCAACAATTTGAGTTGTTCATCCAAACTTGTTTTGATCAGCTTTTTTATATCATTTTTCTATGCTTTTAGGTCATTTTCAAAACATTTTAAGAGCATTTTATTGATCATTTTTTGCATTGTTTTAAGTCATAAAAATCCGTCCCTGTCAAAACAGATAAGCATTTCTACCTCACTTTGAAAATTGAATGAAAATTATGAACTTATGAAAATTTCATGTCATTAAAAATATCCAAACAATATATTTAAATGAGTGGAATATATCAAAGGTGTAGGACTGAAAGCTGGAATTACTTCAGGTAGTCCACTTGTTTGGGCAGCAAGCTTCTGCCTTTACCTAGCTCTCAAGCTCAAAGAACTGTGGCACAACATATCATATGAAACATGTTGCTTGTTTGTTTGGTAGCATTGAAGTTAGCAAGTGTAAAGTTTGTCTGTTTCTTTATTTTTCTGGCCCTCTGTATAGTAGTTATCCTCAAGGCTGACACCTTGCCATTTTGGCACAAAGTTTTTTGAGGGTATTCACTGTGCAGTCAAAATTAACTTGGTTTAGTGAAAGTTAGATATGTATATGTTGTTATTTATTCATTTTAAAGTAATTGATGTACTTTTCGTCAGCCGCTTAAACACTTTATGCTTATTTTTTTTATTTATTTATTTTTTTAAAATATTGATTGTTAGAAATTATATTATACTCATAAAGAGAAGAATAAGAAATCTCCAAACTTTTTTTCCATTTTTTTGAAGCTACTTGTGGGCTGCAGAAAGATACAAATTGTTTCTGCAGTGGGCCCTTTTCTGGCAAAGCGATATAACATTCACATTTTTTCATATAATATTCATATTTTAATTTACAGGAAGCATATGTTATGCAAAGAATTGTGGAACTACAAAAAGAAGGTCTTTGGTCTGAAAAACGTTTACCAAAAGTTCAGGAACCACCACGCGCAAAAGCTCACTGGGATTATCTTGTTGAAGAAATGGTTTGGCTAGCTGCTGATTTTGCTCAAGAAAGAAAGTGGAAGAAGGCAGCTGCCAAAAAGGTGACTATTAATTTTCTTGTAATCTTGTTAACTGTGAGAATTATTATTATTATTATTATTTTATTATAATGTTTTAAATATTCATAACTTTGAAATTATAAACATTCTCAAAAATATGATTCTTGTTTATAAATTTACGACTATTTTGCAAATATAACATTGATTTGAATTTTCATAGTGTGCACGAAGTATTCAGAAGTATTTTCAAGAAAAAGCAATTCAAGCCCAAAAGGCAGAAAAAACTCAAGAATTGCGATTACGGAAGATTGCAAACTTCATTGCAAAAGAAGTGAAAACATTTTGGACAAATGTAGAAAAGGTAAACTTACGTGGATATTCTGATGAAACTACAAACTTGGAATTTAAAGTTTGTATGGTGAATGAAAGTACGTTTCTTGTTTTATAGCTTGTGGAATATAAACAGCAAACCAGATTGGAAGAGAAAAGGAAAAAGGTGCTAGATCAACATCTTAGTTTTATTGTTGATCAGACTGAAAAGTATTCCACTTGGCTGGCAGAAAGCATGAATAAGCCTGGAGACACTGTGTCACATAGTGTTCCTCCGTCTGTGAACTCTTCAGTATTATCTTCACCCTCCAGACCAGATGGAGTTACTGATGGTAAATATGTTTTAATTAAACCATGAACAGTGTTTGAAATATAATATATTCTTAAAAATAATATATTCAAATATGCCAGATACAGTAAAACCCTGCTTGTACATTCCTGCAATTTGTTTTCCAGGCATTTACAACATTTCTTGTCACTCTCATATGTTGTTGTATATTCATAATGTTATAAATACCCCGCATTTACTTTAGTTAAATTTCAATTTTTCCCACAATATACAAGTCTAATTGCCACAACACCATCTGGAAAGCACTTCACGGCATACACAATGCGCAATGTATTCATATTCCCACAGTACAAAGTATACTAGTCTGAAATATTTATGAATGGCTGAAAACAAACTTCATTGATTTTGGGATAATGTAAACTAAGCTTCTTCTTTTTTTTTCTTTTTTTTCTCTCCAAACTGAAGAAAATCCAAGTACTCTTTTCATCTGACAATGAGTATGTTGCTGCTTTTTCAAAGGCTTCAATAAGTGGATGGTAGAGACCCAGGAAGTGTTTTTTTTTTGACCTTTATAATTCACTACTTGTAACTACGCCTGCGATTTCAGATTTCGCAAGGTGCACGATTTTTCACTGTTGCTCAGAGAGCAAAGCGTCTCACCTGTCTGAGGGAACCTGAATGATCACTTGTGTTTAGCACAATAAATTTGATTTGGTACTGCATCCATTGTGGCCTGTGATTTGTTTGCATTGAAACGTTCTTGTTTTTAAGAGAATTAAAGGGTGTGGAGCGGTGCGATCATTTTTTTCAGCAGTAGAAATGAAGTGCAATGGAGAAGAAGGATGGAAAAAGATTTTCAGAACAGAAATTGTAAATTTTGAAGAAAATGGACACTTTTTCAGGGCATTTCCTAGCAAAGCTATTGGAAATTTCCTTTTCAACTGTCAATACAACTGAAATGTTGCAAAACAATTGAACAAAGTGCAAAGGTGTGCAGACAAAATTCTAGAAAGTGAAAATACGTGAAGACCTCAAAAGTATGACAAAATGGAAGACATTTTATAAAACTGGTTTGAGACAACAAGGGCATCAGTTATACCAAATAACGCCAACGTTTTTAGAGAGAAAGCATAAAAATGTGGCAGATATGTTGGATGTAGAAAATTTTTCTGCATCCAATGATTGGATAGATTATTTCAAGAAATGGTACAATCCTGTTTACAGAGCAATATGTGGTGAAACTAATAGTGTAGATAAAATTATAAAAGGATTGAAAGTAGCCCGGCAAAACCGGGCTACTTTTATCCTCTGCCCAATAAACCCTTTTCTATGAAGAATAAACCATGTCACAGGGACAAGCACAGCAAAATTTACTTTATGGTAATGTTGGGAACAAATGCAGAGAGAACTGAAACACTGGGTCCATTTGTTATTGGTAAAGCAAGAAAGCCAGGTTTCTTTGAGAATATTATGATCTCACTGACATCCTATGTTTCACACTAAAATGCACAAATTACTTCAGTGTAATTTTCTCAGCAACTTCATGCTCTTGATGTAAAAATGGGGGCATGGAACGATAAAATCTTACTCTTTATTGATTCAATGTCCATCACATCCCACAACTTTGAACTTAAAGAACATATGGATGGAGTTTTCCTTGCCAAATACACAATTATGTTGCAAACCTCTAGATTTGGGCACCATTTATCAGTTCACTACCGCAGAAACTTTGTTCAAAAGTATTGAACCCTTCAATGTGGTGTCGAGGTTGAACGTGGTATTATTAGAAGGCAGCTGCAAGTGAAAGGTGCGAGAGCCGAGGTCTGCTGCAGGAGCATCTCAGCTCGGGCAGCATTGTGTTTCACAACACAGAAGACGTGCTCTACCTTAAGAATGCATCACTTCACATCAATAATAATAATAATAATAATAATAATAATAATAATAATAATAATAATAATAATAATAATAATAATAATAGCAATAATAACAATATGAAAATTAAAAATGAAAAATTAAACTTTTAAATACGAATGGGAAAGAGATTTCCTAGAGCATTTCAACCCAGCCGTACAAACGGGATAATTTTGGCGTGACCTCTAGAGGCGCACGTTGGCTCTTATCTATCGCTTGCTGACGGACGGCAAGCTGTGGTGCTTCGATTCTCACGCATCATCACATACCACAGAATAAATTATTTATGTTTTCATTTTATAGGGGAATTTGGGTGTCGCATGGCATATACATATGACATCCACTAATTAGTTCCATAACATATTACATTAATTTCATAGGTAATAATTCAATTTTGCCAGAAATACATTTTTCTACAGTATAGGAGGTAACAACGGGGTAAGCTCATGTTTATAGCAATGCAATAAATTTATTTATTTTATATTTTATTATGTATTGTTCTGTATTGTTTGCAATGTCTTAATAGTTTATTGTTTTGGTATAAACCATTGTTCTGGTGCTATACAAATATCTCTTCAGCCTAACAAAGCTTCCCTTTTGTTAGGGCGCCTTCTTCTTTAGTCCCTTGTACTTGTATGTAACGCTTCACTGTGTACCACCTCCTGTCACACACCATAGTCCAAACAAACCCGCCTCGGCTCACGCTTCTCATGGGCGATCGCAGTCGCGTTTTGCTTTTGCTCCTTGCGCTCGGGTTGTGTGCTTTTTGAATGAAACAATGGCTCGTCGAGAACAATCACTAACAACTCGTGAAATTGAATTAAAGAATATAAAATACTTTTTCATTTTGAGAAATGATTTTTATACTTTTACTTTTCAAAACCACTTTAAAAAATCTGAAAAAAATCATTTTTCGTGGTTTTATAAACAACCGATATTATAATAATATTTTGAATATTTTTTTCGAAAGTATAATAATTTCTTCAGCTTCCAATTTTGTAATCAATTTTCATAAAGTATTATGTAAATTACCTCTTCGCAAGTAAACAAATTTTTAAATATTCTAAATATAAAGACATTGTTAACATGAAATGCAACGTTGTGCAGACGGGGAGGGTGGCGTAAGGAATAAAATAAAGTTAAAAAAAATGAAAGGATCATTGCCCAAAATAATATTACTTCATTTTGCAGAGGAAAAGTTTATACTGTCTTACTCAGTTAATCCCTTTAATTATCTATCAAGAAGGACTTTCAAAACTGGGAGGGTAGCTGTCATCACTCGCCGAAGTTAAACCTGCACTGGGGTCAAGCAAATTCGTCTATTTAAAAAAGTCTGTACCACACGGAGTGCAGAAGGAAATAATCTCTGTAGCTAAAAGGTTAAAATAACTGCTCAATAGTATCTTTCATTTATATAAATGTTTATTAATAGTAGAACATAATTAAAAATTAGGTACAATAATTTTCTTTATAGACTCCTAATAATTGTCCATTTTAAACCAAAAAATTGACCAAGCTTTTAAAACAAGTGTCAGGACAAAGTCCAACTTTCAATCTGGCTGCTAGAATGTAGGCTCTCCACGTCGCACATTCTAGTGACAAACAATACATCGTTTCTGTTCTTCAATTTTGTCACCTTGTGGTGGAATTCTTTCAAGGAAGTGTCTTCCTGACCAGCGATGTAAATAACTCAGCGAATGATGTTCACATACGGCTCTTTTTTCATGTGAATGAGCAAATAACAATTGCTCAACCAGATCAATACAAGTTCAATACAATCAATACAACCAGATCAGTACAGTTTCAAAGAAGTGATTCTTGTTCCAGTATTATTCTTTTTCCAATTCATAATTGTATTCAACACAGTGACATTTAATAATATTCTGTACATTTTCATATTCCATTTCTTGCTTTTCTTCCTTTCAATAAGGTAGTTTGCAAGTACTGATCTTTCAGATCTACCCATCTCATAAATTTATTGTAATCAAGAATGCACGTGGGTTTTTGAATTACTTCTTTTCTCTTTGTACTAACTGAATTCATCCTGATGGTAGGAGCTTTTCATAGAAACATTTTTACATAGAAACAACTTACAAAATAGAAATTTTTATCCATCCATTTCAACACTGAAACGGCGTGAGAGTTGTGCAATCTACTTACCTTGCTTCAATTTCTTTTCCCGCAGTGTTTTAGGAACATATTTTCTTTTCAAACGTAATGTTATGTGTGTAAGTAATGTTCCTAAACAACCTGTTCCTCTTTTTTTAAACATCACTGCTAATAAAGGGAATATTAGTAATTGCCCATCCATAAAGTGTATCCAAAAAGTAAATGAAATTACTTTCATTTTACACCATAGACCGAATTCTAATAGATGATAGAGATGACACTGTGTCAACTACTGTGAAATATCAAATGTTAAAAAGCTGATTTGGCGGTTCCCTAAGAGGTATTATGAACAAGGGCATGGCAAACTTGATTTCTAAATCACAGGCAAAAGATCCAAATTGCATCTGTTAATTATTGAATATGATGGCAAAAACTTTAATTTTACTTATATGATTGAGTCAATTAATTGAGTCTCCTGAAAGAAGTAATTTTCACATTCAATGCTTTTCTTTTCAAACAACAAAAATAAATACACCAGCAGAGTTAAGTGCTTCAGCTATTTTATAATATATATACATTTCTTAACAGATGAATTTCAACCCAATCAAAGTTCTACAGATGATGAAGAAACAATAGCTAAAGCAGAAGAGGATATGGGCAGTCAGGGTAATTCAGATGAAATAGAAATGTTAAAACGAGAATCTGAACTTCCACTGGAAGATTTGTTGAAAGAACTACCTGAAGACTATTTAGAAAATAGAGATAAATTAGTGAGTGAAGGCAAAGTAAGTGCTTATTTATTAGGCTGTTAAACATAAAATAATGTAATTGATATTTCTGTTTAATTACATCCATTTATTGGTACTTTAATTTGAAATTTTTGAGTTACTAGATTTTTGCATAATTTAAATTGAATCTCTCTCGCATACTGATGCTTTGTGAAATTTGAAATATCTTCGGTAAGATCTTGTTTGAATATTTGTCATAGAGTGATGATGAAAAATCAGTTTCCAATGACGATGAATTTGTGGCTTCTGATGGAGAATCTACTGATGATGAAGAAACTATTCAGGAGCAGGAGACTATGGAGGGAACTGTTGATCATAAAGAAGAGCTTGCTGCTTTAGAGGTAGATACTTAGCAAATATATATGTTTTTTCTCTCCCCCCCTCTTTTTTTTTTGTCTTGATGTCTTACGACAATGTGGTCATTATCTTTTTTAAAGCTTTTCTTTCATAGTCATTATCATTTCAAAATTAGCTGAACGTGAGTGATTACATTGCAGAAGAGCAGAAATAGGCTCTATAAAGAAAATCAAAAACTTCAAATATCTTGTTTCATGTCCTTAGTGGATCATAGCAGGAAAAACCCAGTTATCCGCTTCTGCTCAAAAATATAATGTTTCACAAATAAGGAAACAGATTATCACTAATGTTTGCATTTAAAGGCACTCCATCTTTGAAATTAAAGCATTTGCTACCTGTAACACACGCTTGCTCGTGCTAGGAAAAACTGACTGCATTGGGGAGATTGATTTGTAATTTGTTCAACAAAATGACATATACCAATTACATGTATTTGGTCTTGGAAATGATATAAAGCACAAATGGTAGCAAATATGCATTAATTATATTAAATTTTAAGACGTGATGAAAATGGGTGTTTATACTGTAAAACTGGTTAATAATACTGAGTAATAACACATCTGGGGCTCATTACTTTTCATTTAAAGCAAAAATCATGAAAATTGGTTGAGTAGAAATATCTAATTTCTTTCTAAACAAAATTCCTACGAAATTTGAAAATATATATTTCTTACACTGATTTTTAAGATAGAGATTTCAATTATGCAGATTTTGGAGAAATTATTTTAAATCTCGTGTAAATTTATTTACAGGATTAATAGAGAAAAGCAGAAGTAATCAGTTCTGAAAATCAAACATTAAGTATCATGTCATTTCCTTTTTTCCAGGCTGAAGGAGAAATGAGTCTTGAAGAATTATTAGCAAAATATGGAGGACCAGATTGTTTAGATGCTGAAGTTCAAGATGATCAAGACAATGAGACTGATGGTATTTTTTAATGTATTTAAATAATAGAAAATGATATGATCTTTTGTGTAAGAGCTTTTGAAGATCAGCATTAGTGTGTTCTGCTTGCAAAATTGTGTGGGGGTGGATGAGGATCTTTTTAATTAACTTATCACAGAACTCTGAATTTGGAGATAGGTGTTTGTATAGGCAGCTCCACACATTCACCAAACAGCAAGCTACTGCTCAACCAATCCCAAACAGCTGATGTGTTTGGCAAATGTTCTCTCCCTTTGATGTTTCCTAAAGACTGACACAGTGGGTAGGGCGAACACCGAATGTTCGCTGCTTGGCAAAGACCAAGCATTTCATCGGCACTACTCAGGATTTGGTGAGCAGTTGCTTGCTACTCACCATATACCGAATGTGTGGAGCTGCCTAAAGATGAAGTCGTTGCTTGTCCAAGCAATTTGGAAGGAGTTAGATACAGAAACCATTGGTCATTTTACTTGTATATTTACATATGATATTTTGACATTGTTCTTCAGTCTTTGTAATGCATATCAGACTCCCTGATGAAAATTAAACAATAAAAGTTATTTATTTAACTCTTCAAGCCGCTAAATTAATATTCACTTATCTCTTACAGAAAAGAGTGATTCAGAAAGTGAATGTGAAGCTGAAGATGGTGAGGGAACAGATGCAGAAGATGAAAAGAGCTGTGAAGAAAGTGAAGTTGGGTTAAAATCATTGTTGGATGATACGAGTACATCAGTTAATGAGGTCTGTTTTTTCGTGAATTTGTTGCCCCTAAGTTTTTGTGAAAGTTTGCTTGTCATTGTTCTTTTCATTGTCTATTTCAATTTCTGTACAAATAGTGAAACATTTTTCTGTGCAATTGTCATAGCTTTATCATTGTATCTTCTCTTTGTTGTGTGCAGCAAAATGAGAAAAATGCAGCTGCTGGCAAGGAAATAACTGATGTAGCAGCCTTGGCAGAAAGTATTCAACCTAAGGGAAATACTCTATCATCAACTAACGTAAGTCATTATTGTATTTCTATTTTTTTAAAAACTATTTTGTTTTATATTATTTTTGTTGTTGTTGTTGTTGTTGTTGTTGTTGTTGTCATTGTGGTTGTTAAATGTGTTTTGGAAGTAAGATATGCAGTTGAATTGCATTTGTATCAAATGATGGAAAGATGATTTGGGTCAGTTGAAAGATCAGTTTCATCTTTTCTCAACTGTCTAAATTTTGCCTCTCAATGAGACAAAAAAAATCTTTCACTTCGATCGATGTTTTAAGTCAGTTTGTACTCCGATACAGTAGAGTTTGACTTTTGATAGGACCAAAGTGACAGTTTAAAATAACAAGTGAACATCATGGTTACGTGACAGATGGATATCACTCCCCGCAACAGCAGTTCAATCACGTAACGGATATGTTTATTGATGGCTCCAGTAAAGTTATCATCCATGGTCACAAGTCATGTAGTGAACGTACACAACTCCTATTTAAGTCTGTTTTAAAATGTAATAACACTTACAAAAATCGCTTCTCAATATCATAAATTTACTCTCATTATAAATTCTTAATAATGTGTTTAAAATGTTTGTTAAAAGGGATTAAAGAAGCATAAAAAGTCCAGCACACCCTAATTTCAATTCTTTTTTGTGGCAGACTCTTAATTTAATTGGACAATGTGATCACATGAGGAAGTATTGAAGCCGCTTATAAGTGAGCCAACTGCAAACAAATAATGATATGAGGAGTGTAATTTGTCATCATTGACAACTGCATAAAATGGATGGAAAAATTAAACGGGCAGAACCTTAAGTTAATGTAGCTTGAAATAGCTGTCACTTTGGTTCTTTTTTGGGCTACTTTTTCTATAGATAGTTTTCACTAGTGAGAAAATATTTGTCTTTTCGGGAATTAGTCAACTTCCTTTTATTTCATTGTAAATATGCTTACATTTGCAGGTTGTAACGACGATTCCATTTCTTCTGAAGCACACCTTGAGAGAATATCAACACATTGGCTTAGATTGGCTTGTTACTATGTTTGATAGAAAACTGAATGGTATTTTAGCAGACGAGATGGGCCTTGGTAAAACAATACAAACAATTTCATTGTTAGCTCATTTGGCTTGTGAAAAAGGTATTCTGTAATAATTAATATCACCTTTCTTTTTGAATGGATGTCTTGAATTGAACATGAACATAAAAAAACAATCTTTCAGGAAATTGGGGTCCTCATTTAATAATTGTTCCAACATCTGTTATGCTGAACTGGGAAATGGAATTCAAAAAATGGTGTCCAGCCTTCAAAATTCTTACATATTATGGAACCCAAAAAGAGAGGAAACAGAAAAGGACAGGTAAGGAACTTCAAATATATCTTAGTTTGGAAAATTGTCTCATGCAGGTGACTTGTTGGAAATCACTGTACTCACAAAAAAACTTCGTATATATATTCCTCTTTAACAGTTTTCAAGGGCCCAAGGAAAAAATGTTTTAAATTGTGGGAAATTATGTTTGCCTTCAATTAAATTAAAGAGCATTAATTCTCTGTTTATTAATATTAACTTCTAATGAGGAAAGAATTGGCATCTTAGACCTTGCACTTCAACTAATTCTGGGGTTTTGTAATCCCCCTGAATAAAAAGACTCTTGTTAAAACTATTTTAATCATCACTAAAATGTAATCTTTTAAACTGTCCATAAAAAATTAACACTTTACTGTATCCAGTAATATTGAAAACTAGTGGTGCTAAAAAATGGCACAAGCTTTCTTGTACTATACTAGTTAATTTCCTTTTCTTGTGAATCAGGGCTAGCATTTTTGGTTTGGCTCCACCCTCGTCGTAAGCAGCTTTCTCTTGGAGCTTTAAACTTCCAAAGTATGATAATTAGTAACTAAATTCCAGAAATTACTGGGTGCTATACAACAATATATACATGTGTACGAAGGTGGGTCAGAAGGTAATGCCTCATATTTACCCTTCATCCAATTATAATGCTGGACAGTTATAGTTGTCAACCCTTTAAAGTTTCATTTTTCCAATGCTAGTTGATTACGTTTCAAGTTTCTATTAATGGCAGTTTCTTAATGAAGAACTAAAAGGGTGGATGTAGATGACATTTGTTACATACAATGTGCTGTGATTCATTTCCTTGTTGGGGAGAAGGAAACTGTTGTGAACATCCACAAATGCTTGTGTTTAGTGTGTGGTACTTCTGCTGTTCTCATAAGTACTGTTGGATCTATGGCTAAATTGATTGAATGTATGCCTTATTTACTATTGTGAGACTCAGACCATCAGGCCTGCTCTTTTATCTGACCATGCAAATTTCATAACCCTCCTTTCACCAACTGGTGAAGAAAGAAGGTATTACTTGGGCGGCAAAACAGGCGATTTGAAATTAGCTCAGAGGCTTCGTTTAGGCTTGGGGATCTTTTACGTGCGGTAAATCTACTCGCATGGGACAACTGGCTTTACTTCTCCTTCAAAGGAAAGCATACAAAGGACTTTTTCGCCTTTAAAAATCCACGTTTACCATTGGGTTTGAACCCGCCATCTTGGGTATAACAGTTCGATATGCTTACCTTTATATCATCGACACTACTAAACTAGTTAGCTAAACTAATTGTCTAAACTGGTTAGAGCTTAGGAGAGTGAAGAATGTGATCTCCATGATTTGCCACACTCTGGGCATCCCACTACAGCAGTGAGTCCTGACACGCTAACATGCTCTTTTGGGATAATGAAGGTGTCATTGATGGTTAAGTTATGCCAAAAAGCAATAACTCCAATTCAGATTCTTACATCAACACTCAGAATACCCTAAAGAAGCGTTTCCATTGAGTTTGTTTTCGGAAGAACTGTGCACAAAGTTTGCGCTTTCTTGCATGATAACTCATGCCTACACTACAGTGTTGCAATAAGAGAAGTTCTGACAAAACTGGGTTAAACTATGCTCCATCATACACTCTGGATACACCCCTCTGATTTCCATCACTTCAGGCCGATGAGAAACTGTATTCGTGGAAGAAAATTTGAAGGTGATCAACAAAGAAAAGAAATGACATCGTCATCAAGAAGTCTTGGTGCCAACAAGGCATGCTCACCCTTGTTTCAAGCTGGTGCAAGGGTATATAAGTCATAGAAAGTTATGTAGGAAAATACAGCAAGTAGAAGAACTATGTATTAATATTGTATTCAAATTTCAAATTATTCAAATAAATATTTCTGGAGAAAAAAATGGGGGACTTTACTTTTTGATCAGCCCTTGTGTATTAAACACTAAACTTAATGTATAGACCTGTTGCTGTCATTTCGAAAGTGTAAGTTGTAAGTGATTTCAAGGAAGGAAAAAGGTAAAAATAATTTTTCTTTCTCTCCCGTACTGTTCAGCAATTGAAAAAATTGGGGGGGGATGGAAGAAACACAAAAATTGGTGTTTTGAGAGGAAGGTGTAAGATTTTTTTGAGGGGCTTGTTCTAGGGTTGTAAGGCACAGAAAAATTAGTTTTCGCAATTTTTTTCAAAAATAAGATTTTGTGTGTACGTTTGGCGTCAAGAAAATATTTAAAAGAATGGTTTTCTGATAATATAAACTATTTTCATATTTTATATATTTTTTTTCAACTAAATAAAATAATGTTCAGTAGACGGGAAAGAAAGAAAGAAGAAAAAAAAAATCTTTTTTTGGTTGTAGAGTGGTGGTGGTGGGAAAAGAGCCTTCAAAAATATCTTATTTTATGATGAAGTGATAGTTTAAGTACTCATATGTCATTTGGTTTTAGTGAACTTTTTACTGTCTTCGGGGGAAACCCTTTGGACCTGCTTTTGAAAACACTTCAGATTTTGAGAAAGTTTAAGTGAAATAATTTGAAATGCTTGTACTCACAAATACAGTAATGTAAATAAACTTAAAAAAAAAAAAAATGTAAACAAAGGGAGAAAGATTACAGAACTAGTAGTGCTGTAACAGAACATACTTTCTTGCATAATTTGTAATGGCTCTGCAATTTTGTACTACTACATGAACTTGTAAAAGTGTTTCCAATCAGCAAAAATTTTTCTTTTTCGGTGAGATGTGAACTTAGGTTCATGGAGTTAAATTTGTAGTAAGTCCGTCCGTACATCTATTATGCGAATAATATTTCTGTCTGTTATGCCCCTGTAGCTTAATGTGATGTGGAAAATTCTGGAATGGAGATGTGTAGAACATTCTCTTATAAAATAATTTTGAATGAGAGGAGGACTTGGTTCGCTATTGAAATGCGCCGGTTTCCAGTGAAGTATTACGTGACTTTATCATCTTACTAAGTTACTTGGTAAGGGTGAGGAAGAAAAAATTCAGGAATCATCTGAAAATTGGTATTTACGTATATGAAAAACAATTTCCTAGTGATATGGGCTGTCATGCTAGGTTAATGAAGCTAGTATTATTTTCTTTATTTATGAATTCCAATTAACACACACTTAAAACTAGTGCTACAGAATGGCAGAGGCATTCTGATGCTAGCTTTTTAATTTATTTGGTCTGAGGTAGTTTTCAGTTCTGCCCCTCTCTCTTCCTAGCTGCCATCTATTGCCACCCAAATTAGTTTTCTCACATGTTCACAATTGTTCAGCCCTCTAGTGGTAGAATTGTAACATGTCTTACAGACTATTATAGACGAGTAAAATCTCAACCTGCATTGAAATTGTTGTTGAAATTATTATAGCCATTATTGAGATAATGTCATTTGAGCTTTTCCGAAAATATGCATTTTGAATCTCAATTTCACAGAAAACTTTTGAACTTTCAAGAAACTTCATAACAAATTATTTGAAGCTATTGTGCCCACAAATGCAATAATGTATACAAATTGTGTGTATTGTTAATTACTGATGTGAAAAATATTTTAAAAAAAATTACATTTGTGTAATTAAAAGAAATAAATAATACCCCACCATACCTCCATCCCCAATTCCATGCACAGAGTATTACTTCTGCTGCAATTTTTTCTTTTCTTCTTTTTTTAAATTTTTATTTATTTAAATATTGCTTATGTACTGTAACATTCCTATTTATTCAAATATTTAATTATTTATTACTATCATGAGGGTGGGCAGCCATTTGTAACGCTACATCATTTCCTACTGATTTTATCAATATAACTTATTTCTTTCATTGCCCTGCTATGCTCACAAATTCTTTCAATATGGAAATTTTATGCTATCTTCGCTTTAAAATCCAATCATGGGTTCGACATACAACATTTCTCATCTTACCCGCTGCACGTGTACATGTAATTCCATATGGAATCACGATTCCTCACAAACTAATTATTAAATTGATGGCAATTACTCTGAATTTTTAGCCTTTTTTGTTTTTCAAAAAGTTAACTTAACGTTTATTGCAATACTTTTACATAATTTTCGAGTAATTAACTTGTTGAGTAATAACCCAATTTGTGACTACCTATTTTCAACTGATTTTATAAAAATTCCTCCCCATCTACAGAGCTATTCTGACATAAACCCCTTTGAAAAATGAAGTCCATTTAACTTAAATCTAACAATTACTTCAACAACAAAAAAATTACAATTATAATTTAACATTACTAACACTTTCAAACTTTGACTTGCCACAAAGCTAATCAACACTAATCATCATTTACCCACTTCAATACTATTTACAAATAACCCCTGACTATTCTGATAACTAACATTCACATCACATCAGTCACTTACATGTGTCCAGGTTGGCAGATTTTAAGAGAATGATCATTTCGTCTTTTTTGCACTATCACAGCTTTCAATGCCTTCTTACATACATACCCTTCCCCTGTAGCTTCATGTTTGATGCAAATACTCCCATGCAAAATATCATGGGGCCCTTTGGCTTATCACAATACTATAAAGAGTTTAATTTTGTGTTTCAGACTGTATTTTTAGTTGGTTGGGAGATTCACACTCAGCTAGGTCTCTGAAAAGCAATAAAATAATGTTAGGTTGATTTATTTACATGATTGTCTTCCACAATACTTTTAATATGGCTAATTACAGTTTTTGAAGGAATTAGTAAGTTTTGTGAATCCCCAATTGTACCGATTTAACAATTAATTTGCAATGTTTCAGGCTGGACTAAACCTAATGCCTTCCATGTATGTATTACTTCTTATAAATTAGTTATCCAAGATCATCAAAGCTTTAGAAGAAAAAAATGGAAGTACTTAATTCTTGATGAAGCTCAGAATATAAAAAATTTCAAATCACAACGTTGGCAATTACTTCTTAATTTTCAAACACAGAGGTAACCTATTATTTATATTTCATGGAGAAATGAAAGTTTTGCGTGAATATTGTTGCTTTCTTGTCAGTTTTATATGTAATCTAAGTAGTGGTTTAGTAATTTTCTTAAATCTCTTTTTGTTGTGATTGGTAAGAATTGTTTTTCTTATTTTTAAACTAAACATTTTTACAGGCGCCTGTTACTCACTGGAACTCCATTACAAAATAATCTAATGGAATTGTGGTCCTTGATGCATTTTCTAATGCCAAATGTATTTCAGTCACATCGTGAATTTAAAGAGTGGTTTTCTAATCCAGTAACTGGAATGATAGAAGGGAATTCTGAGTACAATGATAGCATTATTAAGCGTCTACACAAGGTATTGAAGGAATCTCTTATAATATGTATTATGATATTATGCAATGTACAATTTTTAATGATAATTTTTATTGTAGGTATTGAGGCCTTTTCTTTTGCGGCGGTTAAAAACTGAAGTAGAAAAGCAGCTTCCCAAAAAGTATGAACATATAGTTATGTGCCGGCTTTCAAAACGCCAACGGTTTTTGTATGATGACTTCATGTCTCGGGCCAAGTATGAAATCTTTTGTATTGAATGTGCTTTTCCTTTGAGCTGCAATTGATAACATTTGGAGTAACTTCACCTTTTTTAATACAGGACAAAAGAAACTCTGGCAACAGGAAATTTACTCAGCGTTATAAATGTTTTAATGCAGCTTCGGAAAGTTTGCAATCATCCAAATTTGTTTGAAGTTCGACCTACAGTCTCACCATTTCAAATGGAAGGGATATTGTATGTTACTTCATCATTGGTGTATTCAGCATTGAATTATGACCCTTTCAAGGTATAAGATATAAATATAACTATCTTAAATTTTATTTTGTTTATTACTTTAAATTAAAGAGAAAGATTTATTGTAATATAATTTTTTTAAATGTAATGTATATTTTTTTATTATTACAGCATGTGAATTTTACCTTCATGAACTTACTTTTGGTGGAATTGGAAACAAGCCTAACTGCTTTTGTAGCTCATAGATTAAAGAAATTTTGTGTCCCAAAGCAACGGATTGAAGAAATTGACAAAGCTCCTGAATGTGCTCCACGTTGCCCTGCAGGGAAGATAAAAATAAATGTTCGATATACTTACAATCAGCAGCCTATTTCCTCTGCAAGCTCTCTTCTCTTGAACAAGGGACTAGCATTAAACATTGCTGGCTCAAGAATGGGAGCATCTCCACTATTGAAGAGTGTCTTACCTCAAGGATTAGGTCAAGGTAGGATCTCAACCATGTATTTTGCTTGGCTTGCTTGATAGGAGTAATCACAAAAGTACATACACATAAACCTTTTATCAATTTAAATTATTAATTATATTTTAATTAGTAATTTAATGTATAATGTTATGATAATCTTCATCAGTTTGAATACCCATGTGATGGACACTCTGCCACTAGTGTCTGTTGTAAACATTTTGTTTATACGTGTATTTCTGCTAACATTTAGTACATGTTTATATGATGTAATAGGGAGTTATTGTATAGTTCACCATAAAACAAAGTGATGCATGTTACACACAACCAAGAGACGAGAATCATTGAAGTCTTATAGGTGTTTTGCACAATGCTCTTTGTAAGACTTCGATAAAAGGAAGTGAATGGTGATGGAAGAGTGTACGGCGAATGCAAAATTTCCTTAAAGCCACAACCTCTTGATTCACTTTGGTTCAATTAGAGCTTCACACCAACATTTTGTTGCACAGTGGGAATATAAAGTTAACAACACACTCAACCACCACAGTTGCAATCAAATTATATTTACTGTAATCTCATGACTTCTTTTGTACATGGTGCAAGTTACGTGATAACGCATGATAATTCTGGTGAAGTATTGTTTTCCAATATAATTATAACTAGGGGCGGATTTTAGTGACCTAAAGCAGCATCAAAAATGATCAATAAAATGATCTTATGCTTAAATGTTTTAGAAATGCCTTAAATGATAAATGTTGTAAAAATTTTTATCAAAACCAATTCTGATGATCAACTCAAGCTGTTGGATATGTTACTGGTGTAATTGAGGTGTCTTTCTTTCATTCAGATGAATTCGGCTTGCAAACTTCTGGTTTGGACTGTTCTTTACCAGGATATCTCTTGTCTTTAGTTATTACGTAATCAGCCGAACAGACAATGGTGGCATCACAGGGCATCACAGAAGGTGGCATCACAAGGCATCACAGAAACCTTAGAGTACATACAACATCTGACATTACAATTTCTGAGCAAAGAAATCGAATAGGCTACTCAAGAACTCTGTGGGGAATGTTTGTATCTCATAAATATTATTTCAAGCAAGTACCATTAAAATGAAGAAAAAAGATGAAACCAGTGGAAAATATCTAAAAAGCTGGAAAAGGGTTTGAAATGATGTGTTAGTTGAACTTGACAAAAAATGCAAAAAAAGTCATAAAAAGACGGTTCATTAAAATCCATCCCTAATCATAACGATTGAGTTTTCACTTGTGCTCAAAACTGTTTTCATTTTTAATACAATACAGAGTTCATGCAATGTAAAATCTCTTTATTGCTACAGACATAAATTACATTAAAGAAAGTTAACATCAGTCAACAGTCATTTATGTTCAGCTCCCGATATTGCTTGTAGTGTTTGAAATAGAAGACAGTTCCTTAAAATGTAGGGGATAATAATTTTTTTAGGGACTTTTGCATTTGTGGTGGCCTGTTGAGGATTTTGAGAATTCACGGAGAGTACAGAAAACTATCTGAACTATTTGCTCTCAAGGCTTCTTGGCTATGCCTGCCGCCTTGTAGCAAGGGCGCTACTTTCTTGTGAAGTTTTTGATGTAGCATTTGTTTAGATGTTAGGGTGTGATTCCCCAGAAGAACATAATGCTGTAAGCTGCAAGTGCAGATTACAGCATTAGCGTTTAGCCCTTAGTGTCTTACACCTAGGTGGCATGCTTTGCATTTATTTAAGTGAAACTGGGAGAGAGCAGGGTAATTTTCTCTAGGGGGCCTAGGAACAAACATCATGTGGCTGCCTACTCATTAGAGTACATAGCAAGAGAAGGATTAAGCCCTTAGCCACTGTTCTTATGTTTGTCATTCTAAAATAAAACTTCGGTGAAACATTGGACATTGTTCCAGCATTTATTGTCTTGACTGATCCATTTTTTCTTTGGCTCTGCTTTGTTATTATGATGCATCTTTCTTCTCAATATTTTCTCACATCAATCATTGGGCTAACTTTGATCATGATAGAAAATATTACTGCATATATCCTTTTCCAAATCATATTCTTGCAAAATGAATGTTGAGAATGGTTTGAAATTTTAAAAATGATGGATGCAGGAATGGATGAAGATAAGTATATGACCTTTTTCTGGAAAATAGAATGATTCAGGGAGTTTTATTGACCTGAAAAGGTCTGGAAATTTTTAGAAAAATCTCTAATGACAGAGAAATTTTGAGGCAGTTATAACACTAGATTTTATTCCTTAAAAAACATTGGTTCCTTGTTTTTATTTTTAAAAAATTAAGCAAATATTGTTAATTTTGGTCTTTTTAACAGGGTAGTCAAAAAGCTGACAAATCATTAATAACAAATACTGTGCGTTTTTAATCTTCATCTTTCACCCGCTATCGTCCTCTCTCCCCTCCCTTTTACATCTCTTCCATTCACACAGAGCGTGGAAGATATTCTGGGATACTAGAATTAGTGAAATGTCAATCCTGAAATAAGTGTAGAAACTGCCAACTTGATAATTATTTTTGAGAGAATTTAAAATATATTGGGTATAACATACTAGTTTTGATTCTGTGTTAATTCCAGAAATAAAGCTGTGCTGATTGTTTGAAATGAAGGGGAAAATCTTTGTTTTAAGTTTGTGTGTAATAGTAGACTCAAACTGTTTGGGAATTGTATTAATATTTGAAATAGGATTAAATCTATATTTTGAAACATCATTTCTTGAACCAGTCTTGTAACCTGTTATGACGAAAGCAGACTTCCATACAAAAGGAATACAGCTTTCCAATAATGTTTTAGTGAATAATATTTCTAAAATAAAGGCAAAAATATAATTACATTTTCAACAAAATTCATGGAATCCTATCAGGACTGGCTCTCATAGTTAAAATTTTAATTTCACAGTTTTAATTTGTGATGTAATATAATTGGTATAGTATATTGGGCATTAATTGTTTACAAAATTTCAGAAATACAAATGTTATCCCCCAATAACTAATTACCGTATTTACCCAAATATAAGAAGAGGGTTTTCTGTAAATATTTCATTAAAAAATGCAGGGTCTTCATTTGCTGAGTAAACCTGGTCGGTTAAAATTGATGATGTTACATTTACTTTCCATGTCAAGAAACTCATACATGTTGATGTAATAAGAAGCTGCAAAGACAATAAAAATAATCAATCGTCATCCACCACAAACTCGCCTGACTTGATTCACAGTTGATATTTCTCAATAAGGCCAGTAAAAAGAGAATCACAACAAAAAAAATATTGTGGCCACTTTCTGAAAAATAGGAGAAAAAACTGGGAATGTCATTGCTCAGGAAAAATGAAAAAATCAGGAAATTTGTAGAAGAATTATTAGAAGACGAAAAATTTTAAACCGATGATATAACTAGATATTATTCCTTAAGAAAATTAGTCCTGCAAAAAATAGTAACTTAAATTTTATTTGTTGAGGGTGTTTTTTATTGTTTTTTAATTGTACTTTATCACAAGGAAATCAGAGGTGGCAAATTTGTATCAGGTTTGTTTAATATTTTTTAAAAAAGAGTTTGAAATACTATACAAATCTTATCCATGAAAACAGGGTAATGTCAGGAAACCTTGTTGAAAATCTTGCCACTGGCAGGGCTTCAACCTTAGAACTTCCCAGTCAGAGGCTCTGCAGTGACAGTGACTTGATGCCCTGAACCACAGCTCTCTTTCTCTCTCTCTCTTTTTTTGTTTTTTTAACATGGAAATTTCTTACTGTACTTACCCACTAATACACCTCTAGACAAAGAAATCACTAGAAAATTCAAGAGCATTTTGCATGCAAATTTGACTCAGCCTTATGACCTGCAACAGTGTGAAAATAGATATATGCAAACTGATTTCTTGTAGCCGCTGTTGCATACTACATGCTACTCCCAGTTATGTCCCACAATTTTGTTTTACAGTGTCAAGTATAAAATATTGCCAAGTCATATATTAATGGTCAATTTAAAGCACTTTGAAAATCAAATAAAATTGATTCTTAGAAATTAAGTCTTAGTGTTTTCATTAGGGAACAATGGGACTGAATGGTTGAATAAAAAATACAAACATGCAAAGAAAGAAAAGTCACCATATGAAAGGAATTATTGTAGAATTTAATAATAATTAAAATGATTCAAATTGCAATTTTAACTCCAAAATGTACATCAGATTTTACATGGAAGGAAAGGATGTTTTCTTTGTAATCTTGATTTCACATGTCTTATCAAACGCTTTTTCACTCTCTGTCTATCAGAAAGATTATTTCTTATTGCATCCCCAGTTCTAACAATCCCCAGACTAATGGGGATGTCGTGTTAAAGAACTCTATTGTAATCACATCAGCATCACTTTCCCAACTCGCTTTGACAAATATAATGTTGGTGGTGGCGAGTTTTGGATGAAGCCATTCTGTACTCGATCATTACGTTGTTAGATCAAAGAAATAGCACCTGAACATTCATGATAAAATTCACAGCACTATCTGAAAACATTAAAAACAATTTCCTTAAATATCGTTAATTGTACAGTAAATTGCTATACCACCTCTCACAGAAAACAAACAACTACAAACAAACCAGAATTGCTGCTCTTTGCCCTTGTTTGGAAGAATACATACCACCACCACTAACAATTAACATTAGAGAGCAGATTTTGATGACCTAAAACATCACCAAAAAGTTCAATAAAATACTCTTAAAATGTTTTCAAAATGCCCTGAAAGCATAGAAAAATGAAAAAAATTGATCTAAACCAATTCAAATGATCAATTCAAGTTGTTGGACTTGGATACATTACGAGCGTAATCAAGGCTTCTTCCTTTTGTTAAGTAAACTCAGCTTGCAAACTTTTGTTTTGGACAGTTCTTTACCAGGAAATCTCTGCCTTTGGTTATCCCAAAATCTACCGAACTAACAATGGCGATGATAGCATCATGTCACCGGTATCTTAGACTACTGTTTACATTACACTGTAATGACTGACATGACA